CGGGCCTCCCGCCTCATCTGAGAAACGAGGGCCGTGGTCTTGGCCCTGCAGCCCTCCCCACGCTGTCCCTGCCACCTCTCAGGAGACGCTGCTGTCCCTGTCTCTTGACCGAGCCTCTGTGTGCCTTTCTGAGTCAGGCCAGGGGCTGACACCTCCAGGGTCCTCGGCTGCTCATGGTGACCAGGTGCTTCCTGGCTCTTGGACCCTGTGGAAGGAGGTGGGCTAGGACCCCCTGAAATGGGAGTTCCCCTGGCTGGAGTGCTCAGGGTCGGGAGAACCGAGTGAGCAGAACAAGGATGTTCTCCTGGGCGGGAGCCGGGGGGCCAGGGTGGGTGGAGAGGACAAGAGGGTCCCTCATTGTGGCTCTTGGGCATAGCGTGGATTGGGTCTGAGGGCTGAGGGAGGCCACCAAACACGAGAACTGTGGGCAAGTCAGTGGCCAAAAGGGTGCAGTCCAAGTGAGGTGCAGGGAGCAGGGTGTGGCAAGGGCTCCACACAGAGACCATGCCCTTAGGTCACAGGCTGTGTGAGGCCAAGGGGTTGGGGGTGGGGTGAGCATCGGCCTGGACCTCTTCCTCAATCCAGTTAAGATAAGGAGCTACAAAACATGCAGCAGGGAAGGACATGTTGTTCCTCCACTTTACTCCTCCAACCATGCCACTGACTGTGGAGCACCTGCCACGTGCTTGATGCCACCTTCTCTGAGCTCTGGGGACACAAAGAGGAACTGGCTAGTGGTGGGTTCCACATTCATCCTCCCATGTGGCCGCGCATCTGGGGTCTGTCCTGTTCTCCCCTGCGTAGTGACTCAGTCAGGATTGGTTAAGTGGCGCGACTGTGTCCTCAGACGCTGAGGGCGCGCAGGCAGGCAGCTTCAGGGGAAGACACAGTCATGAGTGCAGGGAGCCCAGGTGGGCGTGGAGGAGGGCCAGCTTGGGGAGAGGCTGCCTGGCTCAGAGGGGTGCTGGGAGAACCGAGTGAGCAGAGCAGGGATGTTCTGTGACTGCAGATGGCGGGTGAGCTGGTGGCTTCACATTCCAGGCACCCAGGACCCACTGCCTCACAGGCCACCGAACGCATGTGGCTGGCTCCCAGAGCTGGGCTCTGAGGGAGACCAGGAACTGGGGCCCGAGGTCCCATTTGAACTTTTTCCTTTCCCAGCAAACACAAGCGCCCAGGCTGGGATGGGAGAATGATCTTGGAGTCTCAGGCTGAGGCCTATCTCGGTGGCTGCCATTCACTGACGTTTTAAGACATAAGCGTGTTCTAGAAAGTGTCTGCCAAACACTGAACATCCACTGAATGATTAACCCTGGAGTGGCTCATCCCAAGCAAGCGCAGGGGCAAAGCTAACTCAACCTGTCCTTGCTGGAAAATACGATGAGCTAGCACGACCGACATAAATAACCAAGGAGTGCCAGACAGGTTGAGCTGGGGCCTCCAAAAGCAAGTGATGCTTGAATGGCCTTGACGGGGTGCCCCCAGCTCTGGAGTGAGGGAGAGAATCCAGGTGCCAGACCCCTAAGCTGACAGAAATAGGTCTTTGCCCAGTGGGAAGCACATCAGTCCCTCCCTGCCCCTCCCCACCTTCCCCAGGTGGGCCGGGGTATCTGCTGCCCTCTGAGTGGAACCACCCACCCCGGTCTGTACTGTCTTGGCCGTAAGGGAGAGCGGGCACTGTGAGGAGGGCCGTACCAAAGGCAGGGCTGAGCTACAAGGCGCTGTTGTGTCTGTGAATGCAGGGCAGCCCCATGGACACAGCTAGGGAGCTGGACAGCTCTGCTGGGTAAAGATGGCCCCTTCTGCAGGCTCCATCTCATGCCAGGGCACCAGGAGTAGCCGCTGGCCCCCGACCTGGCACCATGGGCACCTCAGCATGTGGAAGCAGCCCTAGTACCTCACAGGCTCTCTTGGGGCAGGTGCCAGCCACAGCAGAAGCTCCTGAGAACAGCCTGGAATTTAGCTGCAGCCTCAGGCCAAGCCCCCCACCCTCCGCTCCCATCTCACCGCACCACCTTTGGTGACCTCATCCAGGGCTTGTGTCAGAACAGGGCAGGTTATCTCGATCCACATAAGGGAGGTAGGAGTCACAGGCGTGCAGGCTGCCTTTTCAGCTCATTTATTGTTTTTGTTGATAAAGTGTTAACATATTGCACAACAGAACCAGGAAAGAGGTCCCAGCCTGGGAGACACTGCATCATGTCCCCTCTCTCAATCAAGGCTCCCGTGATGGGCACAGTGGGCATACAGCCCATTCCACTGCCCTGTCCACAGGTCCTTGGGCTGCAGTGGGGTCAGAGTGACCATCACTGTGAGGGTAACACGAAGAGCTGGCGGCGTGTTCGTGGAGAGTGGCTCTGGAGCAAAGTCAGGCAGCTGGTGGCATGAGGGGCCTGGGAAGGAACCTGGGGGGAGAAGGTAGGGGTCTGGGAACTACCCAGAACTGCCCTCCTCCTTGCCCACCCTGAGCCGCTACACTGTAGTAAAGAGAGCACTTGTCCGTGGGAGCCACTTCATTTGGCTGAGCACTGGATCTGGGTTCAGGCGCCACGATGCTGTCCCGGGGACCCTCCCTGCTGCACACCAATGGCAGGTGTGGCACAGACACCAGTTTCTGAGGGCAGGGCAGCCAGGCGCACCTGGCACTTAGGTCGCTTTCTCCTTCCCGTCCTCCCTCAGTTCCTCCTTCAGGCTCTCGGCCACAAGCTTCGTTTGCTGTTGAGAGAACACAGGACAGCAGGTGAGCCACACAAACCACGGCAGTGCCGAAGTAGTGGCAGAGGCTCCCACTCTCTGCAGAATCCCAGACAGAGGCTTTGACCCCAGGCAAGTGGTGACTCTCCGACACTGCCCGAGGGTTCCTGCAAGTCCTTGCATCTGACTGATGGGTCAGCAGATAGGGGTGTGAGTAGAAACGCAACATTGTGTTTGTGTAAGCCCAGCGCTGCCGGGGTTTTAAGGACAGTGGGATGAGAAGTACTGGCATCTCCTCTCTGGAGGCCCAGGATGAGAGGCATGGGGGGTCAGGGCCCAGGGGATGACAGGGCACTGACTTGGGGCCAAGTGTGTGCTCTGCCCCATGGGTCGAGCAACCTTGGCTGTGTGACCTTGTTGAGCTTGAGTTTCTACATCTGCACAGAGAGAGCAACGGGCAAATTTTGCAGGCAGGCTGCATGATTATTGTCCATGAAGTCCCTGGCCTAGAACAGATGCTCTAAATCATCAGACATTTCTTACCAGCCCTTTGACCCTACAGCTACAGGATCACTCTCCCCTCCCCCACCCAGGGCCACATCCTTATGGGAACATCCCACAGTTTCCCAGAGGGTGAGGCCAGGGTGGAGGTGCCCATCCGGACAGCAGGATGGGAGACTGCCAAGGAGGTGTCAGAAGGGAACAAGTCCATGCTCACGAATCAGGCAGCTGGTTGGGTGGAGGGGGTAGTCCTGCCTCTCCCAGCCACCTCTCCCCTGTGGGTGCTAGAAAGCACGACTACAGCTCTGGCCTATTTGTTAATAAATGAATAACTACTTTGGAATTTAGCTTCAAACACACACACAGCTTTTTGATACCAGCTATTTACTTATGGAAAAACAAAACTGAGCACAAATGCTGCTGTGCCCTGGGTACCTGGCTACTTATCTCGGGAGCCCCAAGTGCCTCACAGGGCTGGAGGCAATATGCCAAGCTTTCTGTGCCTTTCAAGGGGGAGAAGCCCCTTTCATAAGACCATCAACCAAAAGCCTCTGTCTAGTTCACTGCAGCCTCGAACTCCTGGGTGCAAGTTCCTCCTAAGGATCCTTTAGTTCCATAGGGTCTCAGGACAGCACTCTTGCTCCTGACTCTTCTCATCTTTTCTGAGCCTGGCCTGCCCCCCCAGGATGGCTCAGTGCTGGGTTCTCAAAGGCTGACCCCCTCTTCATTAGGGCCAGGGAGGGGACTGTCTAGCGTCTACATCTGAGCAGGACTTAGGGGGTGGCTTTTGATGAGAAGAGGGCCAGGGTGCTAGCTTACCAAAGGGGGCAGGTATTTTCCACAGGGGTCACCCTATTTCAGCAGGTCCAGAGCAAGGGGTGGGCATGGGAGTTAATGATGGCTCAGGGACTTGCTCTGTCCAAACGACCCACAGCTGCAAGGTTTCTGGAAGTTTCAGCCTTCCAGGGTAATGGAGACAGCTTTAGTTCACAAACCTGGAGAAACTAGACTGCCATGCCCTGTGAGAGCCTCCCAGAACTTATTCTTCACATCTGCTACCTTTTCCATTACTGACACTCAGGCCCTCTCCTAAGCCCACGCTGCCTGTGAACAACAGATGTCGAAGATCCCCCTAAAGGAAAGTGAGGATTTCAGCCCAGGTTCACAGCAGACCCTTCTAGCTGGTGTCATCAATTTTAAATGTCTTTTGATGAGAGAGGGAGAATGAATATAAATTTATTTTCTGATGACAAGTAACAGAAGAAATTAAAAGTTAAGTACATTTAAATAAACTAAAACAATAATAAGCTAGAACATTCCCCAGTTTGCCACAGATTCTTACAGCCACATTTCCCTGACATTCTCAGAGGGAGAAAAATCAAAATGGGTAGCATTTGAGGCTCTTTTGAGGCTCCAATTGTTCCCCCATTGTGAGTTGTGGCTTCGGTTGGGAGCCCACAGGGTCAGGTAACAGGCGCAGAGATGTGCAGCCGCTCTCTCAGGAAGGCCTCCAGCCTCACAGGAGTCGGGGCAGACGGACATTCTTCCCTGGTTGACCAAGCCCCAGGTGACGTTGTCTTACTTCCCAGAGCTGCTCCTAAGGTGTCCCTGCTTGCCCTTTTAGTTGATGTGCCCTCGGGAGACTCCCCCAGTGTCCACGGCTCCTTCCCTCAGGCCCAGGTCAGGGCTTCACCCAGGTTTGGGGATGAATGCAGGACCCGCCTGGTGGGGCTGCTCCCCATCTGCGCTGCCTGCCTTGCTCAGGGCAACACCCGAGAGCCTGGGGGTGTCCCTGAGGTCACAGGGCCATCCACACTGATAGCAAAGGCAGGAAGAATGGCCAGGGACCCTACATCTGCTCGTGCCTCAGGCCAGCTGTTCTCACACTTCTGCCCTCTCCTTTGCCTCCCCTAGACCATGGCCTGGTCAGCTGGGCCAAGTCCACCCCCAGCCTCTCATTCTGTGGCTGGTCCCTCAGGGCTTGATCTGCCTGCTGCCCAGGAGTGTCTTAAGGCCAACTTGGCAGCCAGAGGAGAGAGCTGGGACAAGAAGGCTGTGCTCCCAGGGCCTCCGCAGAGCAGTGCGGTGGTGGGCCAGGTGGTTTCCTTCCAGGAGCTCCGCCTCCTGGGGACATGGTGGGGAGCAGCGTTCAGCCTGACTCCCTTGGTCTCGTCATGCCCACACTCCCCGGCTGGGAGATGTTGAGCCACTGGCAGAACCTGTAGCCAAAGCTCAAAGGAAAACCTCAGCAGTTGGGAAAACCATGGCCTGCTTGCCTAGCCCGCTTGCCGGAGACAAGGAGTTAAGCTGGCAGGAGATCAGGGCTGACATCCAAGCCTCTCCTGCACAAATGGAGAGGCTGGGCCTCTACTTCCCTTGTGTGCTAAAATGGGGTCAGAAGCCATGGACACTTGCTACTGGCGGTCCAGCCATAAGATGACTTCTCTTGGGTAAACCAACTGCTGCTCATGGGCCTGGATCCCTTCAGGTGGGGATCACGCAGCTTGCACCAGAAACACCCCATGTGTCCTCGATGCAGCGACTGTGATGCAAACCAGCCCTCCTGGGGAAAGGAGAGCTGCAACCCAGTCACAGTCCCTGCCGGAGTGGACCCAGTCATACCCTCCCCCCGGGGAAACTGGCAGGACTGACTTCAGACTCTCAACATTTTTGATTAGGTGGGAACCTTGAAGATCATTCAGTCTCATGGCCACAGACTCACAGGCTGAAATGCTGGCTCTGGCCTGCAGAGGGGCCAGGACTCTGAATTTTCAACAAGTCCTCGAGGTTTTTCCACCAACTATTCCTGGCTTCCAAGTCTCTGATTTGTTGTCTGCCACCTTTCACAAAAAAAGCAAGCCAGTGTCAGAGTTGCAAGGTGACAACTGATTCCTCCTAGGCCACATGAAGGCTCTGGCTGAGTGGGCTGGGGGTCCCACAAGCACCAGACTGCTTTGGCAGCTCAGCTCTTTGGCTTCTTCCCTTTAGCAGCCCTGGAGAGGGGTGCGGGTGAGAGGGAGCAACATTATCCCCTTTAAAAAAACCTGGCTTCTTCGGGGGTCCTTAAATGAAAACTTTCATAAATACATAAGCAAGATAATAGACTTCTTCACAAAAAAGTATCACAATGGAGAATGGAATTTTCCCCCACTTGTGACTCATTAAAACACTCAGGCTCCAAATTATTCTTTAAAAAGCACAGTCTGAGTTTTTGCATTATTAGTAATGATTATAACAGGAACTTAACCATTAAGCTAAATGCACCGCTTATCCTGAGGGAGGCTGTGCCACCAGACCCCCTTTAGAGAAGCCAGAAATCGTTTCTGAGACTTGTGATGTTTCCCACAGACCTAGGATGGCCACGGTGGACCCCCTGGACCTCAGATGGCCCTTTTACCCTCCAGGCTTATAACAGCGCCTCTCGCTGGCTGATCTGCAATCAATGTTAGGGTCCTTCTATTCACAGCATGCGGGAAATCATTTGATTTACACTGCTTTCCCAGTTCAAAATCTACTATCACCTATTCCATGACCCCCGCCCCCCCAAAAACAACCTCCTACAGAAGGAACATATCCAGGCAGCTCTTGACTGAAGGATGGAAAACCCCAAGTAACACCAGTGCCCGTACTGGAGGCCTCCCAGGCCCGCGTCCCCTGAGTGCAGAGTGCAGTGGCTGAGACGAAACTGAACTGCTGGCCACACGGGTAGTCCTGGGGCAGCAGCTAAAGCAGGAACGGGGTTCCCAGGTCAGTTCAGGTCAGCAGCAGCACCTGCTCCCTGGGTCCCCAGCCTCAGGTGTGCAGGCCTGACCAGAGAGCACAGATCTCATCAGATCGGGTGCTGGGATTGTTGAACACTCCCCACATGATTCCAACATGCAGCCGAGGTGGACCACAATCAGAAAGAAGTCAGCTACCATCTGCCAGGGCAGGCAGGAAGGGCAGGATGGCCGTGAACCTCTCCCATGTGAGCTCAGCATCGGCACCTCGCCATTACAGGTATCCCCGATGCGACCATGGGGGTCTCAGCTTGGCTAAGCAGCTTGTTGAGGACATGCGGCAAGAGCCAGGGCAAAACTAAGCAGCAGCTTGGCGATTCAGATGAAAGAGTAAAGAAGAGACCGGGCCTTCTGAAGCACCGTATTTTCACAAAGACTTATTTTTATTTGTCCTATCTATTGGAAAGTTTACCTCAAACAGCACTCTGAAAATATTCTAATATGATAATTAAAAAATCCAATCCTGCCTGGGCCTGGTGATGCCATCAGCAGTGAGTGGAGGGGTAGGAGGGCCCAGGCGGCAACCCGACAGCCGGTACTGGAGGGCTCATGCCAACCTTCCGCACTAGAGAGGGTGCTTCATTTTCACAGGCAACCACACGTGCCAGAGGCCCTGGCTCCTGTCTCCCACCTAGCCAGCCTTTCTCAGTGTCCCCGACTAAGGAGGCAGCGCCATTCCCAGCTGGTTCTCACACCAGAGTTTCTACCGGCTCTGCTGAGGCCTGCTCCGTCCCCTGGCCC